GTGCGCGGCCCTGCAGGGAGAGCCCAGCGGAGCCCGGCCCGGCCCGGCCCTCCCGGGGACACAGCCGCCCAGGGGCTGCGGCACAGCCCCTCTCCCCTCTGTCCTGTGCTGTGGGTAGGAACACAATCCCTCCTTACCGTCAGGAACTGCTGGGAAAACTCTGTTCTGAGTAGGTAACTGGAAACTCCATTCTAAAATAAATTACAAGTCACACGAACTTGTTTGACTTAAATACAGACAGGCTACAAAAATCCCACATACATTCTTGCTGAGGTTTATTTGCTCCATGCTGACACCCAACCAATCCTGCTTTAGTTCCCCTTCTGTGTGTCTTGTCTCACCCCTGACATCACCAACCTCCTGGAGAGTTTCCCAGTGGGCCTGGGTTTGATTTACTACAAGAACTGCTGATGACATTGGAAAGAAGGTTTAACGAATGTTTTCAAAATGTGCAAGAATTTTCTGTAGGTTCTCTTCTGCAGTTTGCTGGGGTTTATTTACTGTTTGTGTGCTGTGTGGTTGGAGGTAGGTGATGGCTGGTGCTTCCTTTCATTTCTCTGGGAAAATTGCCCTATCTACAGCAACACATTTTGGGGTTTTTATCATCACTGAAGTCAAAGGCTACCAGCTACTGTAGCTGTCTGTACTTAGGAGCAGGTGATCAGAAGAATCACCAGTTGCATGACAGTTCTTCAAGCAAAAGAAACTTCACTTTATTGATTTGATTTTTTTGTGGTAGAAGGACCACATTTTTCCAATAGTTTTTCAAGGAAGTTCAGCTCTCGCAGTTTTAATGCAGAAGGAAATCATTTTGCATTCAACAAGAATAACAGTTTGTCTAAATAGAAGATAAATTCTTTTCCAAATCCACAAAAATGTTAAACAGATCATTGCGGGATCAGGTGCAAGACCTGTTTAAATTAAGATCTATTTTGATACAGAGAAGGGGTGTGGACAGAGGTTCCCCGTTTATGTTTCTCACAGCTCAGGGAACACTGTTTCTTTGTAAATCTACAATGTGTACACAATTCATGACTGACGGTCATGAAGAGTATCATTTCAAGGTGAGCCTGGTCTGGTTTGATATCTCTTGTTTTCTTACTCTTAAAATAATCTAAGCCTGATAGAACACAGCCAGGAATGAACTACAGTAGATTGGAAGACTACTGAAATCTACAGAAGAATTATCTCAGCAAAGCACATTGTTAACAGTCACATAGCTATTTTTTGACAATTGCTTCACAAAACTGGATGGAAATTTGACAGCGTACTGCAGGAAGTAGGCGTGGAAGTCAACACAAGGATGCCCAGTTATTTTTATTTATGTGCAAAACGTTAAATGCCTGAAACAAACCACAAACAAGGTCATCCTTATGCTACCCATAGAATTAAAGAAAAGAAAGGTATCAGATGGTATATTAAGTACAAAAGCTCTTTTCAAGTGCTTAGATCTAGATTTGGCTTCAATTTGGACTGAAGTAATGTTTAGAAATGTATCTGCTTTCTCCACCATGGGACAGTCAGGCACTGGAACAGGTTGCTGGGAGAAGCTCAGCAGTCTCCACTCTTGGAGGTTTTCAAGACCAGATGGGATACAGCCTCGAGCAACATGCTCTGACATTGCAGACAATCCTGCAGCAGGTTGGACGAGAGACCACCTGAGGCCCCTGCTAGCCTGAAGGATCCCCTCCCGGTACAGGATCACAGCAGAACTACTGGCTGTAATACCCTACAAGCATTTTTGTTTGAAGGTTCATCGTTGCTTATTTTCTTAGCCAAAATATCCTCAACTGGTGTCTGATCATTTACAAGCAGCTTTCACTTGAAATTAAATTTTCAAGGCCAGGCTGGATGAGGCTTTGGGCAACCTGGGCTAGCGGGAGGTGTCCCTGCCCATGGCAGGGGGTGGCACTGGATGATCTCGAAGGTCCCTTCCAACCCAAACCATCCTGTGATTCTGTGGATGTCATTTCAGAGGCTACTGAAGACGAAGAGCCGTTATTGAAGCCATTAGAGCACAGAGGGTTCACACTACATGCAGATATTCATACTTGCATTTCTGCATTATAGCTGGGTTTTTTTCTGTTGAACTGTAATGAATTGTCTCCTAATCTATTCCATCTTCTTGCCATTAGCAGGCTTTGGATGTTCACAAATAGGAGCAAAGATCTTTACTCACACAAAGAGGGAATGCCTAATTCTCTAAATGCAACGGTCTGTCATCTCTGAAGCAGAGATTTAATATATGACGGCAAATTAGGTAGATTTTCATAGATTACTTATCTCTCTGAATACTTTACCTATGCTTATGAAGAAACACAGTCTGTTTGCAAACAGTGCAAATCCACGGCCTTAAAAATGCTTAGAAGAAAATGACAAGTAAAAAAATAAATGGAAAAATGAAACGTATTACATCCTTGTCCTCAAGAGACAATCCTTTCGCAGCATTGATTCACAGCTCCAGTAAAAATATCAATTAAATCCTTCACTGAGATTGGTCAAAAGCTGGAAAATTAGCTTCCCTAGCTAGACACTGGTTAGTCAGATACAACAATTCATTGTGTATGTTTGATGTAAAGTTCTCAAAATGACAAGAACCAAATGAAAACACAGGTGCCTTTCCCCACAGCTCAAACTAGGCGAAGCAATCTGATACTGCACGGCTTCTTTTTGTGCTTTGACAGATGTTGTCTGAAAGGAAATCTTTTAGTGTACAGGAAAATGATAGTGCCTGCCCTCCCCCTTCTTCCAATCATGATAATCATAAACAGCTGATTATAATGTTAGTAGAAGGGTAAAAGTTACTTTAAAAAAAAAGGTTGCAGTAATTTAATAAGTCCTGCAACTAGCCTCGGTTTTTATATTTAATTGACAGGAACTGCATGCATCAAAGGAAACATACTGAGATTGAATGTGCATAAAATGGATATTGGCATTTTAAAGAGGCAGATGAACACAGTGAGCCAAGTCATTTTCATATACTGCTTTTAATAAAATCTTCACAGTATAAAATTCTTACTGAGGCTAAACACAGGTATTCCATCTACTGGGGTGATTAGGGATAACACAGAAGTATTTTTAATCCGTTTTCTAAGGCTTATGGTTTTTTATTAAAAGTTTAAAATCTGACTTGCATTTTTAGTACTGTTTTATGGAGCAAAAAGTCTTGAAAATGCAAACAGAGCACACCTCTCAATCACGTAGGTGTTAATTATCCACAAGACATTGTGTGGAGAGATTCTTAGCCTTAGGGGGGAACCGTACCAACAAACAGACTGAAAAGTACACAAAACCTTACAACTACAAATCAAGGGTCCTTTTCATACAAATTATACATTAAACATATGGGAAGAATTACAAAGATCTCATCTTTGAAGCACTATCAAGAATGTATTTATAGTGGGAGAAGGAACTTCTGCGGGCAAACTTCCTTTTCATGCCTCCTACTCACACATGCACTCCTTATGGACTGAACGCAGCACCTGGAGGGCTTCCACTGACACCGTGAGCTTTCCAATTGCCGCCTTAGCATCTTGGGAATCGAAAACTAGAAAGGAAACATCGTAAAACAGCATTAGCAATTTCATTGAAGGTTTTGGTTTTGTTCTGGTAATTTTCCTTAGCATTTGGACCGACTGAAAGGCACCTAGCATACGCTTAAAAAAGAGAAAAATAAATAAAAACCAAATCTTCTAGTTCAGGCACTCAGCTTGCTGGAAATGGAGCACTCTACAAACCAGAATGTACCTCGTTAAAAGCAGTAGGGTTGGAATTAACTCTGAAATAAAACTATCTGGATGATAATTGCCCATATAAATTCATTATTTTTCACAATACTTGAATATAAATGTTTCAAACTCTATTAAAGGCATATATGCATATGGATAAATACTTCTCAGTAAAAGACACACTGATTAATGGATATTCTACACTATGTGTACGATCAGTCAAAATCAGCCTGGACAGTTACTACTACTTAAATAGTACATTGTCGTTTCCAGTGGGTGCAATGCAAAATTATTTAATGCCAGGCTTCCATGGGTTGTAAAATAGTGAAGTCTACACAAAGATGGTATTCCCCCTAGACTGAACTATTCAACTACCTTAATCTTTGTGTATGTTGGGTTTAAAGTATTATTTAAAATTCCTCTTTTACAGAATGTAGATAACATGATTTAAACTTGCTCTTTTACAATATCCAAGTGAGCCCAGAGGGCCACAGTCTCTGCTGCAGTCATTAAAAACGCTGCTCGTGGTCAAAGCTGAAGCTCTCTCCCAGTCCTGCATAAAAAGCAACGAGGCTGCCTAACGTGACTCTAGAAGGAATTGGAATGAAAACAAATGATCTCAAAAGCACACATCTTTATGAAGCCAATTATCCAGCAAACAAAAGGCAAGGTGATCTACTTGTGGTATAAACTGGGATAAGCACTCTGGGACATGCAACGACACTGCATGCTGCAACTTCTAGATTGCTGGGACAGCTCAGGAGAGGTTTGGAGAAGGAAAAACAGGTGATAAACCTTCCATCATTTACTTTGTTGATAGAGCTGTTACAGGGCAGACTGGACACTATTCTTAGAAATCCAAACCATTTTTTATATCCTTGGACAAATCACGCGGTGAACTGCCAACTTAAAGAGCAGACTCAAGGGACATTATTCTTTTTCCTTGTAAGAACAGTAGGATAACTGTAATTAGTGATACCAGAAGATAGCATTAATTCTATTTTCTCAGTTTTAATATTGTCGTATTATCTCCGAGACGTATTGTTATATGTCTTGTCTATACTCTTTTTCATTGAGACTCTTGCTTAGCCATTCACTTAACTGCTTCAAATCTCCTGTGGGCCACTCTCACAGAATCAGCAATGAAAGGAACAAGATGTGAACAAGATATGTTTGCAGTCCTCAAAAAGAATGAAGGGAGTTTATGGTACCCCACTTAAGAATTACTAGATCTTCATGTGGCAGTGTCCCATGAATTTCCCTGTGTCTAGGTTTATTCTTTTTCCCTCAAACCATCTCAGAGAACGTGTACAGTTCTATTTATTGTGCCATCACGTTTAATTGAAGTCTGTGTCCAGATCTTAAGAACTTTTTCCATTACTTTGTCCAAGCAGATATACTGATATATTCTACTTCTGCCATGATCTGACATACAGCAATGTAAAATTATTTCAATTCTCTGAAAGTTCTAAATTTGCAGAAAATATGCTTGTGGATGCAATAAAAGAAATCTAAACTGTACAGCATCTTCAGGGAAGCGGAAAAGTGTGGATAGGAATAAGAAGAAAAGTATTTCTGTCTACTACTAGAACTTTGACATAAAGTAAAAATTAGTTCAGAACTTCTATGATTAGGGGAAGAAATGCTCTTCACAACACTGTAGTTGTCACTCCATGGTAATGATGACCTTTGGACAGAACAACAACTAGTAACAAAAAAAAGTCCTTCCCGTCACAAGAATTATCTCAGATAACAATGAGGACTTTTAAGAGTTTTGGGAACGGTGACACTCAAGGGTACAAAATTACATCACTAACCAATCTCATCAAATGGGAATTATGACAATGGGCATTATGGCCGTAAAATCCAGAACAAAAACAATTTTCCAGTGAGAGACTATGAAATACCATTTTGGAGGAGACGTGCTTTCGTACAATTACTTGGAGAAAAGTTACTAGTGGAGAAAAGGAAGTGGTTCAGCCACAGTAAGAAGCGGTATGTTATTTTTCCAGATTAGGAAAATTTGATTCTTCGTAGGATTTTCCTTACAGTGCTCCTGGAGCTCTGATGTATTCAGTATTTAGCTACGGCACGGACGCAAATTGTGCATGAGAATGGAAATGCATAAGAAAGCCTGTTTCTTTCCCTCACTACTCAGCTCCCCATCACCCAAGTTATGGGCTCATTAGACACAGCAGCAGAAGCAGCAAAGCCACATTAGCTTGGCGTTCTACTGGGGCTAAGGAGAAACGCTGCCATTGCAAAGAGCACCCTGGGAACATGGGCGCACTGGCCCTAGTAACCAAGCTGGGTCGCCCACCTTTACAGGAGAGTAACTCTTGTAACAGATAGACCCTCAGCTTTTTCACCGAGATTTACCACAAGGAGGAAAGAGGATGGAGAGGAACAGGTAAGGAGAAAAATGCATCTTAAAAACCATGTCCCTGCTACCCTGGGGAACATTTTCCTTCACTGTCTATGAAAGGACCAAGCAGCCCTCTTGAGTGTTCTTATCAGAAGAGTATAGTGAGAGGACAAGGGTTGAAGCTGAAAGAGGGGAGATTTAGACTAGACATTAGGAAGAAATTTTTCACTGTCCGGGTGGTGAGGCAGTGGCCCAGGTTGCCCAGAGAAGCTGTGGATGCCCCATCCCTGGAGGGGTTCAAGGCCAGGCTGGATGAGGCTTTGGGCAACCTGGGCTAGTGGGAGGTGTCCCTGCCCATGGCAGGGGGTGGCACTGGATGATCTTTGAGGTCCCTTCCAACCCAAACCCTTCCATGATACTATGAGTACAAAAATGCTGTCATGAGACCCAGGGAATGGAAGATTCCACGCCTCCTACTCACTTCACCTTGCTTTAATGAGTGAAAGTTCGGACACAGTCTATTACAGAAGGCTGCTTGCTCTAAACTGACCCCTAACCAAAGCCACCAGTATTTCATACTGTCTCAACATTAGCAATACAGAATTACATACATTTTCATTTTAAAATGTATATGTATAGTTTTACTAGCATGAAGTATGTTGACAAAATAGAGAATTCCAGTAAGTGGACATATCCTGAAATTTCTTAGGATTTATAAACCAACTATGAGCTGGGAATGCTGTTTGATTTGGGGAATAACAGTAATGCACAGTTTTTACAGACTTTTGCACAAATGTGGAAGCCATTCGTTAATATTATAAGAATTTCTTATTGAAACAATGTCAAACAATTACTTGCACAGTAAAGCTTGCAGAGAAAAGCAGAAATTCAACAAATAATTTTTAGGTTGCAAAAGGTTCCAACAAAAGTAATCTCTAAAACTTACAATCAATATCTTGCTCAATGATGTCTCTTCCCTCCCGCAATATCTCTCTCAAACTGACATAAGCGAAACCGATATCTTGACATTCAAGGTCCTGTTCGCATGGTAGGGGATCACTGACCACCGCAAATCGTAGCCTAAGCATAAAAAAAAAGAAAAAGAAAAAAAAAGCCTTCAAAAAGGCTTGAAAATTAACTCAGAAAACAGGAAAGAAAAGGCAAAAAACATGCTCTAACAATTAAGCATAAACTAGAACTCTTAATCAACTATATTGAACATTTCCCATGACAAGAATAGTCTGATACCCTTTCTTTTAAATCCTCCCTCCTTCTTTAGCGTTATTTAGCAGTAGTAGAAGGACAGAGAGGTAACCAGAGTTCTGCAGGCTTAGAGAATTTTTTCATTTTTCTCTCCACTCCCCGCCACCGCGTGGCACAATTCCGGTTCACAGGGTAGTGACAGGCAGAAGAGTCTAAGGATTAAGGACTTTTTACATTGGAAACTTGTAAGTTTGCAGCTCAGGTGCTGAACCAACTGTTTCAGTCACTTAATTTCTTTATATTTACCACCCCCCCCGTAAAAATCAAGATCGTACCTATGTACTTTGAGACTTTTAGCAAAACTAATTTATAAAATATCTAAAAATATCATTAGGGTTTTTTTGTGGGGTTTTTTTGTTTGGGTTTTGGTTTGGGGTTTTTTTATGTTGACCATACCATGCGAATTATTTGACATGAAGAAACAAAAGTTTATCTCCACGCAGCCCCTTTGTCCATCCCAAACATCTAAGCCCAACAACCATACAAAATATTTGCATTTCTTCTGTGAATTTAAATTACACTCACTGCATCTGAGTATGGCTTTTCTTTTAAACACATCATTCCACTGTTGTGCTGGAGCTGACCTGCTGGCTTGGCTTGGGGCCAAAGCCACTGAGACTGACCAAAGGACAGAAATTCAGAGCAAACTGCTTTTTTGGTATGTCTTGGCAAGGTTTGAACTGTGAATGCTTGTGAGCTTTACAGCCTAAAAATGTCTATAGCCATAACCACTGCAACACGCTGTTACAGCCCTTTATTTTTGTGCTTGGCTCCTACTAACAAATATTTCTTGTAGAATACATAGACATAAATATTTGTTTGCCACTACAACCAGACACCTATGTGTCTTGAAAAAAAAATTCAGGAGGCAAAAAAAGGAAAAATATCACAGCTATTGCCAACAGCAGGTGGCTTGAGTGAGTATAATGGATCTCACTTGGGATTTTGGCAGAGCTAAGCAGCAGCAAAACTGCCAAAACGGAACTGAAAAGAAAGAAATACTCGGAAGTGTAAGATAAATATCAAATTAAATAAAAACAAATCAAAAACTGTAAGAATAACCGATACAGCTGTTGGGTACTGGGCAAAGATCTGTTTTGTTAGGATTCAGTGTCAATGTTAAATCAACTCAATTGGAGAAACCAGCTTAGCAGTTAACACAGGGATCGAAGAGATAGTGCTGGACTAATGTTCATCACTTAAGGGTACCAACTACTACTAAAATTGTCACTAAAGCATAAACTAAAAGCAGGCCTAGTAACATTTGGGACAGCACCTTACCGCCAAAGCGGAGAGTCATTCACACTGGTCCACTTTCTAGTTCAAAACACAGAATCATAGAATCATTAAGGTTGGAAAAGACCTCAAGGATCATCAAGTCCAACCATCAACCCAACACCACCTAACTCACTAAACCATGTCCCTGAGCACCATACCCAAGTCTTTTTCAGGAACAGAGGAAGCTCCAACAAAACAGATCCAAAGAACAGCACCTCTAACACCTGATAGTTCCAATATGCCTCACAGTTCCAATATGCCTCAAAGATCATAAAACTGTATTAAATCTTTGCTGCTAATCAGGAAGGAAGAGATTTGAACTCTGGATCCCATTGAGGCTACTCCAGCTACCAGACTGCAAGGATAGGACCACAGTCACTTTGACTTGAGTATTTTTAAAAAGTATGACAAACGCTTTAAATTCAGAAAATATTTCAATATGACATTCAGTATGCTTTAACTTGTTTCTTCGTTTACCAAAAATTGCAAAAGAGTTTTGCTTTCAGGTTCAACTGGCTGCAAAGACACAGGTTACACTGCCTTGGAACACACCGCACACGAACAGACTCCTCGCTCTGCGTCAGCACAGAACGCCCACGGGGCAGCTGTGTCCCACATCACCTTAACACTGCTTCACTCACGCAAGAAACTTGGATGGAAGTTGGAATATCAAATCCACACTCAGATTTCTTACATAAATAAAGCTATATATAGTGTTCCTCTCCCGCACATCTCTCTGGGAACCTAGACTTTCTCTCCAGCTCATTTCCCTGTTTCTTTTCTGTAATGCTGGGTATCAGTACTCACTTTCTTGCAGGAATCCCATGGCTACTGACAGAGTAAGAAGAAATTTTGACATCCTGTTAGAAGTCCTGTTGCGGTAGATATTTGCTAGCCACTGCAAGAAAGACTAGAAAACTGAACAAAACTTGTCTGCTAATAGAGAGCCAAAGGAAAAGGAAAAAATAAGAATTGCCTTAAGCTTAAAATGTGCTTTACAATGAAGCAGAAAAACCTGGACAAATATTTACTGTTGTTGCTACAACACCACATAAAGGTGTTATCACCAGCAGGGAACCGAGAGTGCCTGGACAAAGCTGTGATGTAGGTGAATTCGATTCTAATTCTTTATTCCAGAGATCAGCCACTTTTAAGCAGCCTGGAGAAAACCCTGTGTGTTAATGGAGTATATTAACGTGAAGCTAACACATGCTCTCTACTCTTTCAACGTGGATGCACAGATTTTGCTACTTTGGAGAACAAGAGCTCCATACAGTCAGTGTCTTGGAGCAAAAACGATTTCCTAACAAGAAATGGCGCACCCGCAGGATCAGCCTGGAAACCTCCTGCATAAGCTCTTCACTGGTGCTAGCACAGCAGGGTGACTCCTAGAAGAATGGATAGATACAGACACACACACACACATATATATATAGGTTTTTGGAAATTCTAGTGTCCAGAAACACTTTTTGAAGCTTTAACACTCCTTTAGTACCCTGAATTCAGAAAGATGCATTACTCCACCATGAGGTAGTTTTGTGCTTTTCAAATTCATTATTGATAGAACGCTGATGACAGAATCTCTCTTTTCAAAACAAGGTTGTTACAAAACCCTAAACCAAAACAACACTAAGAGAGGTCCCACGCCACACGAGCCTACTCAGGGAAGAAATGTAGATCAATTGCCACATCAGAATGCAGAATTCCTGGCTGAAACAAATTCTTCTCTGGTTAGTTAGCTATGCACTAACTTCTCAGGGATATCTCCTCCATAAAGGCAAAAAAGAAAGCAAAGCATCAGCACTATTTACCAAGACCTTTTGTAGAACTGAAAAACAGCACTAACAGGTACCTGTCAGTATGGAGATCTGGCTCTAGAAGCATAGACTTGAGATAGTCTCTTCTGGCACTATTATTTGCCTTATCCACATGTATCACTGCAAAACAAATCGGATTTAATATCATTAGTTATCAATTGTTTTCCATATTTTAGAAGAAAGAGCATGAAGAAAAGAACAAAAAAAAATAAATATTTCTTTTGGAATAAAAGCACCTATAATATCCGGAGGAAGGAGACATTATTGACAGACAGAATTTACATCACACTTACCACAGCCAAAGTGATAGTGAATCTTCTGACCAATTTTTGGTTTTGGAAGCGACAGTGGGGTCTCTTCTGCAATGACATTGTGTAATCTGCACTCTATGAACAGCTGCTTTATTGTTTCATCTGATGCAATTCGTGAGTCAGTAAGATGGAGCGATAGAATTTCAATAACAATTTTTTCAGTTGCCTATTTAAAAACAAAGCACAAATGAAATACAAATTATTTTGTGTTTCTTGAAGTGTTAACACAAACCAACCAAACACACATGTAAATCACTGGCTATTTTGTGTGACTAACACTGATCAATTGATTTTTGGCACAGACACAGTAAGATTCGAAAGCCCCCAGGTCTGCAGTTAAGGATACTGCTCCAACAGATACTGATTTACATTCAGTGTCGAAAATATTTTTGCAATGGTCATACTCTGCTGGAGAAGATTAGGTTAAGATTACAGTAATGTACAAATGACATCTGAACCACAAATTTCAGCTGCCGTTATTTGTAGCTACACAGCAAAGTGATTTGTATCTTGCTCCTGTAACTGCTTGCCTCAGTCTCAGTCCCAGGAGGCACCAAAGTTTTCCAAAGCAGAGAGGATCGTCAGGCTCAGTGCCTCCCACAGACTGTGCTACAAACAGCTCAGTGAAGTCACAAAGTAGTCAGGCATGTCAAGTAACACTATATTGACATGGAATTCAACTTATATACTGAACTTTTCCAGTTAAATCAAATATACATTTGTAAGTTTAAATTAACAATATGATAATAAAAGTAATATCCCCATTGTTTTTCACCAGAGCCTATTCTTATTACCTTTAACTAAAATGCCATTTTTCTTATATAAAATTGTTTTATACTCTTCAGTAAAGTCTATATTATCTGTGTACAGATAAATTTTAATAAGCTTTATGTATTCAAGTAGGAATGTCAGACTTGAGAGAAAAGTCAAATATTTCCCCAGGTAACTTGGCAATTCAAAGAAAGAACAGCCACGATGGTTTCCAAACTGGAGTACATCGGTGATCATTCAAAGATTAGATTCGTTAAAAAGCAAACAAAACATGCTGGAGTTCAGAAACATCAAAAGCATTTTTTTAATTCTTTCTTTTTTTTTCAAGCTCATAACTTTATTAAAAATATTTCCCCATATGGACATACTGTGACAATTTTTGATTGTAAAGTTAAATCACTTGAAGTAATAAAATATATAAGACAACCTTTCCTGACTCAGTGTTAGAACTGCAAGTCAATATTGTAATTTATTATGGAGATAGCTCATATTTTTCCAAGCAAATTATATAATTGATTAAACTGCAAAGCAGGTATATCCTATAGGAAAAATATCCATCATATAGAACAATTTCCATTGCTGTCAAGCCCTTTCAATATTTGATAAAGTAATTTTACCCCCTGCTTTCAAAAGATATTTCCTTTCATTATGTACCCTAAGACACTTTAACTAAAAACCCAAATCTGAATATTTCAATAAGGTTGTTTCATTATTCAGTAGATTCATGGAAATTTTACTAGGATGACAGAAAACGCCACACCACTCTGTCTCCACTAATACAGGCACACGGCTTCAGCTGGCAGTATTACTGGGATTCGTGTAGAATGATGAAATATTTAAAGGAATTTTTTTTCTAAAAAACTACTAAATCAAATGACTGCCAAATATCATTAACGTGATGGTCTTTGACTTGAATGTGCTTGAAAGAGATGAAAGCCTGGAAAGGTTACCCAGTTTCAAACAATAACCTCAAGCACTCTACATTCACATGCATAAAAAATGAAATTGTCTCTATTGTCTCATTTTACTTCAGAAACAACTCTTCTTGCAATGAACAGATGTATTAGCATTTGCATTTAAAGTGAGATGCTGAGTGGTTTTGTTCACCCCCAGGTATTTAGCAGCTATGTCCATCTAGTGTGTACGCAGACAGCCATTTACGAATCAAGCCCAAATACAATATAGGGTATTACAAACTATTCCTTTTACGTATCTTAAAATTTGTTTGACATATTTAACACTTGTAATTGCATTCTGTAGGCAAAGAATATTACCATTTTTCAAGGATAACAGGGTAAATTCAGGTATTCTGCTTTCTAACTCACAAGGAAGCAAATAACAGTCATAGTACTAGAAAATTGTAAGAAAAAATACTGAACTACTTTAGAGCTTAACAGTCAAGAAACAGTCGACATTCACATTACAATAGTTATCTTTTGCTGGGGAGATTTTGTGCAGGACTGAAATTTGATTTCAGAGTCAAACTAATTAGAAATGTCTATTCTAAGTGTGTATGACAATAATGGAAAAGATGACAACAAATTTTCCCATTAAAAAAGCACCTATAGATCATGTACAGGCAGGTTAACTTTTTTTCTGTGAAAACATGTCTATTTGAACTGGAAACGAGGAAACATACATTAGTTGAAAATGCCTTAGGTTCTGAGCTTAGATACAGCAAAGCTACTCTTAGAAGACATTAGGATTCAAATATTTTTCTTAGACTTACCAAATAATTGGCATAAATACTCTGACTCACCTTTAATTTGGATATTGGATTTGATATAATAACACAGTCATCACTGTCAGTTGGTATTGATTCAACGTCACCATCTTTTTGTTCATCACCTAGTTCTGCCAAAAAAAAAAAAAAGTTAGTTAAAAAACCCTGTATTTGTAGTCCCATCTGAGACTTGCTGAGAAATCTGACAGCAATATATTTGCTTTTCTAAGAAATAAAGTACAAGCGCCAGGTAAATCTTCTCTTCCTTGCAGAACATTAACAAGAGCAAACCGATGACCTTTAAAGTCGCCTAAGCAGTGTTTTTTTCTGATTTGCTAAAAAATTAGTAATGTTTCCCCGATGAAAGTCGATGAGTTGAATGACGTAAGTCCTGTGATGAACTGAAGCGGGAAGAACAATCAGCTTTAGGTAAGAACATGGCCTGAACTTCTGGGTTTCCTCTGACTATGTTTAACACCATGCACAAGTAAACAAGAATGTACTTTCTTTTTTTCTTAAAAAAAAAGTAGTTCTGTTTGCAGGAGGATTATTTTCTAAAGCATTCAGGTCCTTTTTCTCTCTAGCAAATTACTTATAAACATAACAGGGATTCGAGATCATGTTTTTCCAATTTTTCTAATGAATTCTTATGCAGAAGCTGCAAACAACTGAATGTAAAATTTCAGCATTCTGCTTGTGCTTTTACTGTAAACTCGGTATTGTGGACTTGCTTTATTTCAATGATAAACACTTTAAGCTCGGAGGTGCAACAGGATGACCCGGCTTTTACAATCTTTAAATAAATCTGCCTCTAACAGGCCACAGATGTGATAACACATACTACCCCTCTCACTGTCTGAAAGGATTTCCAAAATCAGCACTGGCGCTATCCGCAGACAGGAGGAGCATGTTCATGAAAATAGTCTTTAGAACAGCACAGTTCTAAAGGAGAATACAAAGACATATAAATAGAAGCCAGGTGTCCTTTAATATCTTACGAATCTAGGTCAGATACCAGATTTCTGCATTCAATTACAATACAGTTTCCACTTGGGAAGACAATAACACCATCATATGCACCAGCCAGCTTCAGCTCTAAAGTCCACCAGAATATCATCTCTGTCATGGAGCTTCTCATAACAAGGCAGCTCCCACTGCTGGTAAGAAATGCTTAAGAAAACCCAAAGAGACACAGATTTACTAAGAAAGTACAGTCACTTATTCATAAAAATGAATTCTACCTTCTGTTTGCAATTCTTCAGTTACTTTTGTCTTACCTTCAGAGGTAACTGAGCTCTGGTCAGTCAACGGCCCCTTTGGCAGAGGTAAGCGGTCTTTTTCCTGTTGAATTTCTTGAGCCATCTCCTTCACCTTATCATAGAATCACAGAATCATGAAGGCTGGAAAAGACCTCAAGGATCATCAAGTCCAACCGTCAACCCAACACCACCCAACCCACTAACCCATATCCCAAAGCACCACATCTACACGTTTCTTGACCCCCTCCAGGGATGGTGACTCCACCACTGTCCTGGGCAGCCTGTTCCAATGCCTCATCACTCTTTCAGTGAAGAAATTTTTCTAATATCCAGCCTATCATCTGCTAGCCTTTCTTGCTCAAACTTGTCTACTGCATGCTATATAAAAATAGATCAACTTAGAGTCTTTGTAACACTCATTCAAGTTACTGAAGTTCAAATCTTGAAGGGTTATGGCTCACATTCAGTATACACAGCCTTTAAACAACTACATAGCTTAGGCAGGGCAGGAAACAATGAGAAGTTGTATCAAATAATTTCTACAGTAGAAAGACAATTCTCTAATGATGTATATTTGTGAAAACATAACTATGATAATCATTTGGCACCTGTCAACATACGTACAGCCTGTTAGATTTTCAGATTCATTTTTATTTCAGCTCCTACAGTTCTACAAGACTCTGTCTAAGAAAAAAAAAAACAAACTACCACCACCTTACTCAGCTGGCAAATTTAGAACAAATTATACAATATTTTCTGTTTCAAAAGCAAGCTAGAATCATATAAAAAAAGAACTGGCTTTGCTACAAAATATAAACATGTTATCAAGGTAAAATATCTTTAGAGCATAACTTAGAAGTTCCCTTCTTTCTCTTTGAGTACAAATACCTAGAACAACACCTCATCAATGGATACAACATTACAGACATGGCATCTTCCATGGGAATTTGCTGGAGACCTATGCATTATTTATTTCCATCAGTTCACCTCTAGGACTGAATTTTCCACAGTGACACTGATGCCTCACCTCCCACCCTCAGAATCCAGGAGATATCACTCAGCTGTCCACAGAACATCCACGTTGTCCAAAACCACACCTGAAGAGTTATTTCTAACACATTTGGAGCCAGACGAAGCAAAACAATGGTAACAAACACCAAAGAGCCTTATTCTATAAATAAAGGTTAATCCTTGAAGTTTCCAAGTTGTCAGACACTGACTCCATGTTTCTTAGGCTCCTCCTTGGCACAGACGATGTGTCATAACCACTGTGTTCCAGACAATATTTGGCCATTCTAATAGCACTTTTGTCTCTAACCAGAGAGTGAGGTTGGGATTTTTAGAACAGCTAGGGGAGCTGCCCACCCACTCATGAAGACTTCTGATGGAGACCAAGCAGCTGTCTCCCTTAGAAAGTGAAAAATTGTAGAACTTTGAGAAGTTACTTTTCAGACGGCTGAAGACATGTTGTGTGTGTAACTATATGGCTAACATTTCAGTTTTCAATATCTAAGGTCGCAAAAGATTTGATTTCACCAACATTTAGCTTCTTACTTTTAAAAAAGAAACAGTTAATAAATACAAGAGTAATACGACTTAATTCTTATTTCCAGGCTATACTGGAAATGGCTCAAAACAGAGTTCTAGTCGTGGTAAACCAAAACACAGCAGAAAGACCTGTGAACTGAAAACTGATGTTAACATTTAAAAAAATAAATCCAATTGAGGCGTTTACAAATGGAAAAAAATGATCACAGCTAGGTTTGAATTAATTCATGCAGCATAATATTGTTATCCAATAATACTATTGTTACCTAATAATAATATTCATAACCTTTTACAACTACCTGTTAAAGAACCTACCTTAACTTACTGGATTTAATTAAAGAGTAAATACAGCATATTCTTAGTTCTTCAAAGGCAGCCTATTTAAGATCAAATGACAATTTACACCATAGAGCAGATATGTCGGAGTTAGTTCCATGCAGACCCTCCTAGAGTCTGGAAGGATGTACACAGGATAATGTATCCCAGGTTCAGAAGTGTAACTGCTTTCACAATGTGCATCATCTCAGCTGATAAGCCGTGTTTCAGAGTTGACTCTGAACTAGGTCAGAATGGGTATCTTACTAGCACAGCCCTCGGAATCTGTCTGTAGAGCTATTTCTATGTCTGTGGAAGCCGTACACTGCACAAAGGCACTTCAATTGGTAACCCACAGAGCTGAGAAACACAGTGCAGAGACAGCTGATCGGTCCTGTTAGAATCTGCCCTAAGTCTATAAAAGCTGAAGCTTGTAAACTGTGGAGGATAGCAAGGAATTCTGAGGAGTCCCACAAATATCCCTGTATTGTATCCCTCACCTGTATGCAGGACTATACTATCATTCACTGCCTGGGACATCCCAGTCCTGTGTTGCCAAAACTGAGTGTTCTCAATTACTTGTTCTACCAGTTGTCTGTACTGAGATGTAAGTAGTCTTTCTTGCTTCAACATACACGAGCAAAATACTTCAAACTTACTTCCATCTGCGTTGTACTAAGATCTGGAAAAGATATTTTCTTCTCTGCTTGAGCTGCATGTTGCCTTGGTTTGGGTGTTGGCTTCTGCAATGAAACAAATATAGGTGAAGACCATTTGTTGCCATAACCATCTTACTTCAAAGTCAGTTTTGAGGGACTCCCATTTTTCTCTAAGCCAAATCTAACTGCACTAAATTCATTTCTAAACAGGCAAGATAACGCACACGTTGTTTGAATAAGCACTGCCCCCCAAGTGGAGGTACCTTTCGGAATTTAGACACAAATGGGCGCCAAACTCCACAGAACATCTACCGAATGCAGTGCGAGTTCCAGCTGAGAAGTAATTGTAGAACTGAAGTCAGTGGTATCATCCACATGGCAGAAGGATTTATTATCCTTTATGGAGTGTTTGATCCCTCTTCTTGTTCTGTAGGCTTACCATCTCTTTGAAACCTTTCCTCATCCCACTCTCTTTGGAGAATTTTAACACAGACAAGAGACTGCTAACAGCTGCAAAATTAACTAAATGATCCAGAAATATTTCTGTCATGATGTTATAATACAAAAGACAAAAAATAATAACGAAAAAGTGGTTTACTACTCTTCACGCTTTACTCTCTTGATGAAGGTAGAAATTATCCTCCATTTCCACTGATTTTTATACACACACACACAAAATCCTTACACTACTTTTAATCTATGAGTGATCTGAAAGAAGATCTTGGGTATCTTAGCACCCTGCTCCAGGGACCAGAATAACAGTGTGGCGCAGATACACCTACGTCTCTGTACATATGGCTTGAGTCTGGCTGCTTGAGAATTCTTTTGGCTCAGAGCTATCCCAACTGACTGAGATCTGACTGAGTTTCTAAGAGACCACATATGACTGTCATAAATTTCAGCCATAGCCCTGCAGTTGCACAAGAATGAAACTACATTTTATGTAAGACATCTACATTGGAAAGAGAATTAATAAGCACTACATTTATAGGGAAGACATTTAATGTTTGTTATTTCTCCTCCCTTTTCTCCCCAGTGCTTCGCTAACCAGTTATCTACCATATAAAAGATTTTTTTACAATTTTGGACACAAGAAAGATTTCACTTCGCAAAGGAAGTTGAAGATGGTTGTTGAAGTAGTTGAAGTATTTGTACTCTGCATTATTTTATGTAAAGACAAATCCTGGTCATTAGGGATGAACTGAATGACCTGCTGTAATAGGCATCTTTTTTTATCTCTTAACTTCTGGGAGTTTGTTAAATTACTGTCACTGATGAAGTAAAAGAAGGAGACACGTCTGGAGTCTCCATTTGTTCCTCTGCTTGTAGTTCAGTTGCCACTGATTTCTCATTTTGAATGTCATTCACAAAATCTGCACTCACTGTTGACCCGCTTGGTGGTCGATAGACAAGCTTCCACTTTAATTCAACTGTGATGGTACCGGTAGCAAGTCTTTCAGGATGGGTTAGTTCAAAAGCACCTGAAAGCAAAATGCACATCTTGTCTAAATTACCTTATTCTATACATATACAAGCAAATGCAACACAAAACGGAATGGGACTCAGTAGTTAAGTAACTTAATAGTCTTCATTTCAAAAGCCAAATAGCGTCAAAATATTGTGTTCTGCAGATCCAAATATATCCAATATAACACAGTGGACATTAAAAAACCACAGGATTTAGAAGGGACCGGATAACTGTCTTCACTCAAGATGTCTTGTAGGTTTCTAGATAACACAATACCAGATAACTAATTCTTACTGATACCTTTTGAAAGATCCAACTAAAACATTTCCATGTTTTACTAATACTTACTTTTGTTAAAGAAAACTAAAGGCTTTTAAAAATCTGCAAGTTGCTAAATCTTTAGTGAAGAAACACCCTAAATTCACTTTAAAATTTTCTATTATCCATTTATATGGGACAATTATAGAATCATATTTTAAAATTTTCATTAATGTCTTATAGTTGACAATGAAATAATCATTAAGCAGCTTTTATATTAGAACCACCATAGTGAATTTGTAACTGATATTAACTTGTGGGAAGCAGCTGATGCACTGAAGGCAGGGCTGCTATTCACACAGCAGAAAAATGAGCTGATGGAAATCTCACAAAGTCCAACAAAAGCAAATGCAAAGTCCTGCACTGGCCCAGGAATAGCCCCAAGCAGCAGCACAGGCCGGAGGCTGACTGGCCACGAGCAGCCTTGCAGAAAAAGAGTGGGTCCTGCTTGGCAAAAATAATGTCAGCCAGCCAAGCCATGTCTTTGCAGCAAATAATGCCAACTGCACCCTGGCCTGTATCAGCAAGAATGCAGTCAGGCAGGTGCAGGGAAGGACCATGTGTTCTCTGCTCAGCGCCTGTGAGATGGCAGCTGGAATGCCGTGTCCAGCGCTGGCCCCTCCAGCACAAGGAAGCCACTGACACTCTGGAGCAGATCCAGCGGAGGGGTACAGAGACCTTCAGGGCATTGGAGCACACGACTTAGAAGGGGCTGAAAGAAGTGATTTTCAGAAGAGGAAGCTCAGAGGGGATGTCACTGCCACCTAACAGGAGGGTGCAGAAGAGACAGACCCAGAGGTGCACAGCGCAGAGAGGACAGCCAACAAGCTCTATAAGGGAAAAGTTCTTATTGTGAGGGTGATCAAACACTGGAACTGGCTGACCAGACAGGTACTAGATCTCTGTCCCTTGAGATACTAAAAATTTAACTCAGCAAAGTCCTGAGCAACTTGCTCTAACTGCTCAGGAGGCTGGATTAGATCACATCAGGAATTCCAGTCAACAATGATTCTAAGATTCAAAGTGTAGCTCTTGATCTGGTTTTTTTCCCCAAAGAGGCTGATCTCTCATGTCAATTTTCTAATTTAAGTGGACATTAGCCAAAACTAGAAAAGGAAACTAATGGGGAAAAAAATGAAGCCATGCAGAGAAAGAAACCATGTTATAAATTAGTGTATCTGTCCTGAAAAAAAGTAGCAGCAAAACCAGAAGAAAATGAGCTGGAAGAAACTACGTACATGCCAGGAAACATTTTTTTTTATCATTAGAACATCTAAAAGGACCAGTAAAAGAAGATATCAATTATTTCCAGCTTACTTTTGAACCAGAAAGAAACACTTGGGTTTTTTTATTTCAAGAGTGATTTCAAGACACCTGCTAGTTTTGTTTCACAGATATCTTGCCAGGTAGGAAAGCAGTAAATTTTGAAAGTCAGCTTTCAGCTACTCCTTCCCACCTCATGCTAAGGCTAACGGGGCCTTTCTACCTAATAATGAAAGATGCTCAGAATACAGTGGGGTGAGAAATATAACTGGTAAATTTGGTAGGTTTCTCAAAACAAAAACCAGTGATAAAACACAGATGCAAACAGATTACTAAAATACTAATAAAAAACATCAATAATTGATTAGCAATTAAATTCAGTCAATTCAAATTATAATTAGCTATCAAATCATAATTATTCCATACCTGGCCCAGTATAGAGAAGAAAAAAAGCATTTAAAAGACTTTTCATCCTTGTTAGAACCATAACAAATAATAGGTTCGCTTAATTTTTTTTTTTACTTGTGGACTTACTTCTTTCTCTTAAATCTCAGAAAATGTAATGAGGGGAAAAAAAAAAAGTCCTAATATTGCAACCCACCCCATAAGGTACAGGCATCCTGTTCAGATTCACTGGGGTCGACAGATAATCAAAACCTCCTCATAAGACTTGTTCTCCAGACCCTTCCCCAGCTTCGTTGCCCTTTTTGGACACACTCCAGCACCTCAATGTCTTTCTTGCAGTGAGGGGCCCAAAACTGAACCCGGTATTTGAGGTGTGGCCTCACCAGTGCCAAGCAGAGGGGGATGATCACCACCCTAGTCCTTCTGGCCACACTGTTTGTGACAAAAGCCAGGATGCTGTTGGGCTTTGTGGCCACCTGGGCACACTACCAGATCACATTCAGCTGTCGGTCCCCAACACCTCATTTTCCATCAGGCAGTTCCAGCCACTCTTCCCCAAGCCTGCAGTGTTGTATGGGACTGTTGTAACCCAAGTGCAGGGCCTTGGTTTAAACTCAGCCTCCTTGAATCTCATACAAGAGATCAATCCCTCTGAAGAGCCTTTCTTTAGTTTGGTTCTTAAAGACATACAAAGAGATATGAAAAAGGAAGTGAAGATTTTGTTAAGTTTAAAGAGGTCTAATTCTTACCTGAGATAGATCTGTCATGCGCTAAAGAAATAAGAGGCACCTTGGCTTTCCCTATATAAGCACTCTTGTCTGTTTCACCCTCATCAAATACATAAAAGGATAAGGACTCCGTCTTTAGGTATCGGTCTAAATCTGCGTTCATTGGCACTTGGAAACACATATGGTCATCTATCTGTGGGTTGTTGCTGCTTGGAATGATGGGAGTATCGTGGTCTTCAAAATCAAAGAACTTGTAGACAACATAAGGATCTGGCTGAAGATTATTTTTTCGGGATTGTAGATTGTTACAACATTTTACTGTAATGTGAACTTCATTTAAACTGCCATCTGTTGAAGTGATGACTTGGGCAGTTCTGAGTATCTGCTGCTTTAAATGAAAAAGAAGTTAAATTAAAAACATGAGAATTCTTATGCTGGCAAACCCTAAGAACTATATAAATAAACAAATATGGGATTATTTCAATGACACTCTAACTACTGCTTAATTTTACATGTCAAAATATCAGATGTTCTATTAATTCAACGACATCTCTCTTGGGTTGTTGGTATAAGGAAAGAAGAGCTTCATCCTTTCAGGTCTGTGACTGTTTGCTTTATTCTAAAGTTTTAGGATCTACCTGTCATTTGATAATCTACAAAGCAGTGAAGATCATGGTTTTAAGAGTGATTCATATCTAGGGCCACTTTAAAGTTAAGGATTCTGATCCTGACAGCTACTCTGTGTCAAGAAATGTTTATAACTGTAGTCCCTTCTGTAGACGTCGTTTTCAATAATTAAAACTGCACTGCAGATTCCTCTGGTTTCTTCTTCCTCCAAAACCTTTACCTACATAAATAATTGACAAAAACTAGAAATCAGCATGTGAAGAGTAATAATAGATGTTTGAAGTAAATTTAAAAACTCAATGATATCAGGAAGTTTTTGAATTACCTATCAGCACGGTTTGTGCATACTGTGGAACCCACAGTTGGCAAACTGGGAAATTAATTTTAACAAAAATTAAAGAATAACAAACAAATAATGTGACTATCCTCATCTACACTGAACTCAGAAGGCTCTCCTTTTTTACTGTAACATGGCACAGCTATCTTCATTAATTGTACGTAATTATCTTGTTTGTAGAAGCCAGAGTTCTGTCTTCTGGTATATGGGGAAACGTATCAATTTGATTTTTGTGTGACCAAATGTTAAATATTTTGATTAAGTCATCCACACTGGAATAGTTAACAAGAAAACCAAACATGACAGTTTGAGGCCTTAATATGCAACCTTGAGAGTACTATTTCTGGCTACATATAGAACCGGAAACAAAATTACAGCGGTTTATGTACAGTTCATGTTTTCATGATTTCTGCCATTATGCAGGACAGAAAATTCTATATGTATCTTTAACGAGTGAAAGCTTAAATTTTGGAATGCATAAGTGAAGCTACTTTTGTAGCTGCAGACTGACAGAGCCCTTAACATGATGTAACCATCTGCTACAGCTATACAGCTTCCAGTTTCTGCCATAAACACTTCTGAAAACTGCAGTGTTTCCAACAGCTCCGCAGAAGCTGTTCTTCATTTCTGCCATTTTTCCTTTTTATTTTCTCTTGTATAACCAGTATATTTCAGTTGCCATGTTTGAATTTGCAATTTTACAATAATTACAACAAAACGCTCTGTTCCACATGCCTTACCTTTCAACTGGGTTTGGATTGGTAACAAAGCCAAAAATAACATCATCAAAAACAGAGAAATCTCCATAGCAGGCTTTGGCATTTAACAACGGCCACATTTTGTGAGCGAGTTAAAAATACCTTTGATTCTTGTAAAAATCAGATTTAAAGCAAATGTTACAATGCTATCAAACAGAAAGTCATTCTGAAAATGCCTACACTGACCTTTAACAGAATTCATACACTAACCACGCTTCTCAGATTACATCATGGAATCCATTTGGATTATAGAAGAATATACATTTACAGTACAGAATACTGTGAAACATTAAAGTTACTCCAGCCTTACAGTAATCTAAGCAGCTCTAGATTAAAAAAAAATTGCTCGTTAGAAACTCTAAAGTGTTTTAATTTATACATTTCAACCTGATTGCTTTTATTTCTCAAACAATCATTGAAGATGTCTGAAAGTCCCTTATTTTTCTGTCTGCGACCCTTATTTCAACATGATTCTACAGTGCATTATATTATCCAAATTCTCTTCATTATCCATCTTAAAAAAAAGAACATGTGAAATAATCTCAATCTCATAATATTCAAACATTAAGAACTTGGAGACCTTTCCAAACAACTGCTTCACCTGGTCTACTGATCTGACACCCAGCGGGTTTAACATTCCTCAATACTGTACTAGAACAAAATGTTAACAAAATCTGGCACTTACAGGTTAAGAAAATTAAATATCATCATTTCATATATTCTAGTGGCAATTTCAGTAAAAATAAATAACTGAGTTTAAGACTTTGTCTCTTCAGGTGACTTATAATTCAACTGGTTCTTTTATTTCTTTATATGAAAAACATGTCATACAGCTGCTAAAAATATTTTCCAGTTCAAGAACCCTTTCCTGTGTTAACCTTGAACGTACCAAGACTTGAAGTAAACTATTTGAATTTTAAAGTAATTTTGAACCGTTTATTCTATGAAAACTACGAAGTACAAACCCAAACATACCTGGGATGGTTGCTCACGGTCCCTAAAATTGGATGTTATATACCCCAGAGCCTTTGACCTCTGTTTGTAGTGACCAATAGCTTGCTCCATGGGAAGTCGTAACCTCATCCAGTATTCTAGAGTACCGTAATCTCGAACGTGTCCTTCGGTTCCTAAGGAATACATACATAGGGGATCGCATTAATTTTCTTTTCAAAATTAAATGGCATCTACGTTTATGAGCCAAAATCGGAACATCACCATTTTTTCATATTGCAATCTTCAATATTTACAGTCCAGGCTATAGAGTTCACTATTTTAACCCCTTTAAGGCAAATAAAGTTTAGTTCAGTTTTGTACATCAACAGCCGGAAGTGTACCATAAAGTGGTCTGTGGTTTAAATTCCTGGCAGAAATACCACTTTCTAATGGCTTATTAAACCAGACTGGTGACAAAACGGGGCAGTTAGAGGTCTCTGAATATACTGATCTCACAAACTACTTCTAAAAGAAAAAGTAAACAGCACAGAGTATTAATCACTTCTTAACAAAGGCCTCTCCGGGAGAACTTAAAATTATTCTCAAACAATGAACAGATGCCTTACAACTGTTACATGCAGCCTCTGTAACCATTTCTTCCTTTACTTATTGACAAGGAACAAGGGGATAGATCTATGACACTGGGGCCAGATATAAAGTACTGATGTTTGTCAGTCCTATGACACAGAAATGGTTTTTGGTTTTAATACATATTCTGCCAAACAGGGAAACTGCATATTCAAAAGTAGAATAATTTAATTTCATTTAAATGTATGACAAGAAACACAGAAATTACTGTATGTTTCCCAGCTGAAGTGGGGCCCCCTCGCATCAACAAGTCTCAGAGGATGAAAGAAACTGGCCTTAAACAACTAAAACACAATTAACGATACATAAAATAAAGCAAAATGAAAAAGAATGTATTTTTTTAAAATATCTTCCCTACAGCATTCATAGAAAAATTCTAACATATGAATAGAACTACAACACAATCAAGTACACAGTGCTACTAACTACTTCTCTCCGCGTTGTTTTTGTAGAAATCTGTTAAGTAAGGCGACACTATCTTTGAATAAAATTCTTTACATGTAACACTTTGCAAGTAACCTTTATACAAGATAAAGAATCTCTTGCTATTTTCAGACCAGATTCTCCAATGCCATTGCCAGCAGGTGTCACGTCCTTGACAATCACTAGGTTAACACCATCGTTGTCCTCAGGCACTATGGGCACCTGTCAGAGTCTTCTCACAGCTTTTGGTAGAATCCCCAGAACATGCTGCGTATCCAACAGGAAATATCATGCTGTGTAAACCTTTTTTTTTTTTTTTTGCTTTTGAAATAGTAATATACAAATTCATTGTTGGCCAAATACACATTACGTCATTATCGCTTCCAATACTGCATCTAGCGGAATACTTTTAGATATGTTAATTACCAACTAAATGTGCTGTGCTGTAGATCTTCGCGTTGTTTTCCAGGGTCTCCCACAGCTTCAGTTGACAGGTAGCAACTGTTTCATGATCTATGCCACACGCATGATGAACCTCAAGTGTGACGCTGTTTTCCTGCAGATATTTCAATAAGCGCTCGTCAGCCCACACAAGGTACTGAGAGGTGAAGTCAAACGATGGCGTGTGCCCATAAGCTAAGGGGGTTATCTCAAGTTCGAAGTCATAGAAGCCATAAGTACAAAAAGTTGCAAGTTCATGGTCGCCAAAAGCTTGCACAGCTCCAGAAGACAAGATGACTTTGCTGATATTAATTTCTAAAAGGTTCTGTCCTCTTTCTAAACATAAAGGTTGATCAAATTCATGCACTGGAGCACTTGTCAAAATTTCTCGTCTGGTTTTCCGTGGTTTTGTACCATAAAAAATATCACTTAGTTGGGCTGCAACAAATCAAATAAAATAGAGCTACGATGTGATCATCTGGTTTAAAAATCAAATATAATTAATGACTGAGTAGGGAGGAAAAAAAGCATAATTCAATTATATTAACAATGTTATTTTCTTAAAGGCATTACCAAAAAAGAAATCACACATTTTAAATCATACATCTACTGCTCGTATAGCACACTGACAACGATCCAGAATACCTCCCCAAGGGAGCTGCTTCAATATGCAGGAAAACAGACACAGGCCCCTAACAACTAGTAACAGCCTACAAGGAAGGTAACAAACAAAAAACTCAGAAGCCTTCTGCAATGATCAAAATAAGTATCACTACGCAAATGCATCAGAGACTTAAGATCAATATTTTTGTAGGGTTGAACTAAATTTGCCAGGGAAAGAAAGAATAACTCTGATTTTTAACCTCTGTAATACACTGAGTGGACAGAACTATCAGCAAAGACCTTCGCACGTGCCTGGCCTCACAGGTGGTGAGCGGTGAACAAACCGAAACACATGCTTAGAGAATCAGGACAGAAATCGTCATGCAGCCCTTCAGTGCAGGGGATGCAACTGGGAGACGTAACATGAAAAGCAGTACGATATTGGAGTTTGTGAGGCATCTTATTGCAGGCTTCCTACGCACATTGACACACTGAAGCCATGAAAACAGCATTTTAAATTCATTATATTAAAATATTCTGTTAGTAGATTACACCATGACTTTGGGATTTTTAGCAACACATAGAATGACTATGGAACGATAGGATAGGGAAGTAAAAGGTTGACCATATATGGATGATTTATTTAAAAAATAAAATAAATCTAAGTTTGGTAGTTTAACACTTATTCAGCAATAGCTGCAGCACAGACTGCTTTGTTGAATTTTGTTCAATAACTTTATCATTTAAGCCAATGAAACAGCACACAGATAATTTTCCATTACAGAATTGACCTTTCTACTAGTTTTAGGAATCTAGGAATTTAGTTTCTACTAGAGAACAAATTTACAACAATAATTTGCAAGAGATAAAATATTTAAAAAATAGAGAAGAAGAAGGATATAGCTTTTTTTTAAGATACCTTCTAGTTTTCTGATGCGCTCAGATTTCTTATCAAGAAGATGGCCATATTGTTCCAGCTTTAGCTCACAGTCTTTCTTCAGACCTTCCATCTTTCGTGTCACTGCTTCTACTTCCACCTGAAAAAAATTTGCACGTAAAAAGGACTTTTGAGGCTTGTCTGCACTGATGCTGCACATACCTTTGGCTACGAATTAAAATACAATTAGATTTGAGGAAAGAACGTTCAGGGTCCACAAAAAACCCAGCAATTTTTAATTCAGCAATATACCAATTAGTTCCCACTTCAGCAAAATATAAAAATATTAAGAAAAACAGACAATGTTCAAAATAGTTTCTTTGATGATTTTGTTACTTTAAAGTTAGATTAATTGAATGAAAAGTCAAAATATGATCTGCAATATGATCTCAGCCCAAGAGAGAAAAGCAGAGTGCTGTGGAAAAGGAAGCTCATCTGGTAAGTACACTTACTGTTCTTCCTGGGAGGACCTGATAAGAGCTGAGAGATAATCCCAAGAAGGCACGGTTTGAGGGCTCTGATCAGAGTGAGTTAATGAAGTTATAGTCATTTGGATCTCATGCTTTTAAAACAATACTTTCAACAACATCAACTCTTACGTTAGGTTACCTATTTGTTGCTGAATTTGCAAGTCTTAATTATGACAAATTCCACTACGACCAATGTTAAAATGTTATTATCAGGTTCTTTTCCACGGTGAGCAGAGTTTAGTACCTGGTAATCTTTGGTAATTTTGTGCTGCACAATTAACATATTCCTTGTCTTTTCGAGTTCTTGCACTGTTTCCATATGTGTTAATTGTAGCTCCTTCATGGAGTGTTCTAAATCTTTATGGATATTGTCGTCTTCTTCCAAAAACATAAGGTCCCCTTCCTTCTGCGGCTTTTCAACCTGGAGCAAATTTGAAAAATTACTAGAACAAACTTTTGGAAAATATTTGGATGTATTTGTGCCTGGTTAAATGTAACACTGAGATATAATTTTGGAACAATAGTAAGAGAGTAAGCATGATTTTGTAAATTTTAAACATGTGGTAACACAAAATATAGTAGTGAGGTAGACCAGGAAGTGTCAGGATAGTATTCAGTAACGTAAGGTTGTGATTATCAGGAACTAATTAAAATGTATGAGGTATTCAGAAGCAATCGCTCCTGCCTGTTCAATGAAAATACAAAACTCTTAATATAGTTGCCTTTTATAGAATTAATAATCCTGCTTCAGTGAATGTACAAAACCTGAATTATTATTCTCAAGTCTACATTGCTTCTGTTATTGATATTGGGGTTTCATCTCCACCTAGCCTTCCTGGGTTGTTTTTTTTTTCTTTTTTTCATTATCATTATAGAATTACAACTTGCATTTCAGTAGCAGAAAATGAATCTATTTACAATAAGAACTTCCTCAAGAAAATAAAATGTAAGTCACTGGAACAGTGGAAAATTAACGCAAACTTATTTTTTCACCAATTTCTTCCCCCCATCCCCACTTCATTTTCATTTTCACCCTAAACAATAAAACTACAACTTATGTGCAAGAAAAAAAACAGAACATTTTCTGAGATTTTAGTTTTCTGGTTTAATAAACAAAGAGAAGTTGTTAAGCATCATTGTATGGCATTTTAGAACTTCCATGCTTATAGTATGCTTAGAGAATTAGTAATTTTTTTAAAAATAAATATTACAGGAAGAACACGATGGTGTCATAAGTCATTTAATGAGAAAACACAGGTTTTTTGAAAAAATGCTTCTGAATCTGGTTTAATTCACTTAGATGTTATAATGAATTATCTACATAGCTCGAGATTTCATCCTGACAGTTTTTCATCTTCCCTTCTGCTTCACTGTAACTGAAGAATGACAAAAGCACACATACGAGATTGAAGCACTAACTACTAAAAGATGCACAAATAATTCAGCTCTCAAAAATCCTAGGCATTGTGTAAAAAACATCTAATGGTCAACCAAGTGTTTAGTTAGAGGGGAAAAAAAAAAAAAGGCAAAATATATAGAATCATAGAGTGGTTTGGATTGGAAGGGACCCAAATCATATTATCTAGTTCCAACCTCCTACAAAGCTCATTCTTTTTAAGTTACCTTTGTAAGCAGCACGGCTTCACTGAGTTCTGCCCCACCCCTATTATCTTCCTGAAACAGAAATAGGTAATGAGAAGGTGTTATCAGATATCAATGAGTATTGAAGAAATACACTCAGAATACCAAGATGCACTCTCACTAGACATGACATTTTGCTTGACATCGTGAATAGTTATATTTCTGTATTCTCTTACTTTCAACAAGTATTTACACTATGCATAAAACACAGTGGGGTTTTTTTGCTCATATTCTAAACAGAAACAGAGTTCACCTTGGTTAAATGCTTCACTTGCTCTTTCAGTTCCTCTAGTTGTTGCTTTTGTTCCAGGTAGCATAACTGCAGGTCTTTGTTCTCTTCCATCAGCTTTTTCTTTTGATCTTAAGAGAGAAAAAGAAGAAAATATTTTGCTTAACATAATTATAAAAATTATAAACTTGCTTTTTCATATTAACTTATACATGAAAACTTCATTTTAAAATGTAAAAACGTTTATCCTGTATAGAGAATTAACAAACAGAAAGAGAGGGACAGAAAACTTCTCCTGTTTTGTGGGAATAAAGAGCTTGCACACAGGATCAGC